TTATTGAAATAAAGTGATTACAAAACTGTCTTGAAATTTTTTCTTATAGGGAATAAAATACTCATGTGAATTACTTCAAAGTATTTTCGGTACAACAATATTAAATAGGTACTTAATTAAATAGCTACTACTAATCAGTAATCCAAGGAGAATAAAAGCTAAATTGTTTTTTAAATCTTCTGAAAACTTATTATTCTTAAATCTGAAGTCTTTTTAAAATCTTCCAAAATTTTTTAAATTAATTAACAAAAATAGTATTATAATTAAAAAATAACTTCACAACAATTCCTAAAAATAAAAAAGTAATTAACAAAAATTAAATATTAACTTGAAATCTTACAGACTTCTTGTCATTAAACATAACTGTTTTGGTGTTATTATCACACTATAAAATGAGATCTGGTTTAAAAACTTAAAGTTAGAAATAATTTACCTAAAGTATGTTATTATAAAAAGCCGTGTAAAAAGAAGGAATTAATGCCTTCGAAATCAGTTCCCGTAAGTCTTTTTTCTTATTTTCACCTATTTCATGTTTATTAAAGTATGCTTCTTGAAGTTCTATTTCTGTTGTTAGCTTCATTTTCTTTTTTTTTGTTTCTTACATCAACCTCCTTGTAGTTTTTATCCTTGTATGATGTTTTGTAGAAAAATAAGGTAGGGTTTTCTTTAGTAGTTTTTAAGACTTATTTCATTCCAATTAACGTTCTGTCCATCTGTATTTATTGTATAATTATATCCCCATTCTTCTTGTAATTTTTTCATATCATAAAATGATTGATAATTCATTTCGTGCACAATTAATGGAGGTTGAGTCTTTTTGGCATTCTTAATTAAAGCAATGTACTGGTCGGGTGTATATATGGGGCCTGATTTTAAGTTTTTATTTATTTCTTTCTCAATGAGGCTATGAACACTATCAGCTTCATTTTACGTGTGACCTCGTATCAGAAATTTATGTGTTATACTCGTTATATTTAATGTTTGTACAGCATATAGATACAGAGATGTTACATATTTATTTTTGTTTTGTCCACAGCAATTGTCCGAATAGAAAATTACTTCCTTCGTTTCCTTCGTTTCGTTTATAGTATATATACCTTTGAGGCACTGCAATACTGCCTCTAAATCGTATACAACTACTCTCGTATTTTTGTCTACTTTTTTACGATCGTTAAGTTTCTCAGCTCTACAATAATCCTTCTCTTCTAAATGTTTTAAATATTTCTCTTCGAAATTCTTTTTTTGATTTTCATTTGAATTACGATAAGAATTACATAGATCACATTGATCCTTTTTGGGTTGATAAAAGGACAGATTAAATTATTTGTAAATATTTTATAGTAAGTAGTACCTGCTTGTTTATTCTGTTTTTCTTGTTATTCCTTAAAATCGGTGTATAAATCTTTAATAGTTTTGTTACCTTCTATGTATTTATTCATTGTAGAAGCTCGCTAGTAATGTGATTCAACCTTAGGGATAGAATTAATGTGCTTTACGATAGCACTGCGTATTTCGGAATCAATTTTTTTTGTGGTTTGTATGTTTTCCTCTTAAATCGTTAAATAAAAAATCATTTTGATTTATTCTGTTTTGCACGGTAAATATCATACGATCTGTGATATCCAAAGTTGCCTTATAAAAAGTTTTACAAACTCGGATCATTGCGCCGTCTACTTTAAAATAAAAGGCTTTGTTGTTATGCCTTGGTCTTTCAGCATTCGTATATTTGTATCTAGGTTGAACATCAACCAAACTCGCATTTATATACGCTCTTTGCTTTATTAAATCACCCAAATCCCAAAAAAACCGAAATAATTTGTATATCTGTTCTAAATTTATAGTTGTGGTACATTTGACGACCGAATGGCGTAGTGGTTTGTGTAACGGACTGCTATTCCAAAGGTCGCGGGTTCGATTCCCGCTCAAGTCAAGCATTTGTGTGCATGAACATTTAATGTTTGATTTGGTCTGGGTGTTTCTATGTATAATATGTATGTATTTACAAAAAAAAGTATATACGTATTTATATTAGTTGTCTAGTACCCATAGTACAAGCTTTGCTTAGTTTGGGACTAGATGGCGTTGTGTGATTGTGGTAGAATATTATTATTATTATTATTTAAGCCTACATTTATCCGTGCAAGGTTCCTTTAGATACCGAGCTGATACACGTTTTTTAGATTTATACTGCGATACGTACGATTTTCCCTTATTTAATAAAATACGTTTAAGTTTGTTCTGTTTCCATTGAGTTGGAATTTTGGTGCGTTTGTGGCCTGTTTTCAGGGTAGATCTTGTAGCCAGTTTTGAATCTGAAGAACAGGTAGAAGAGGAGTTCGATTGGCAGAAAAAAATAGTTCCTTTTTTTTGTAAGTTCGATATTCACGTATGTGGGATCAGTATCACTCAAGTCAATGTCTTGTCAAGTTTTCTACAACGTCATCATAATCTGTTTCATCAATAATAACATGAGTTCTAGTAGCAGGTGAATGAGAATTAGTCGAACTTGATGAAGATGAGTCGAATGATGATGAGCTAGATAGTATTGCCTTCCTTATCAGATATAGTTATGTCTATCATAATAAGGGACCAGACTTTTATCAGGTTGACTGTTTTCAAGGTGTGATTTCTGAAATTATTACATTATGAGGTGTTAAATGGCATTCGTTGGATTATTAAATTAATGTAGTTTAGTTGTTTGTTTAAATTTATTTCTACTTACTTAACCCAAAAAGTCAACAAAGCAATTAATAAAAAAAAAGAAATAAATGCAATTCTACTTAACGATAAAATTACTAACCTCATGATCGGAATCCTTAATACTACTTTGATTGTTGTAGTTTTCAATTAAATTACACTCTCGAGTATTTTTATTATTTTTTGTGGTGTTTTCTACAGTCAATTCTAAAATCTTTCGAGCTCGCGAAGACGACATTCTAAAACCAAAGTAATTCTTGAAAGCCGATATTCCATTCATAATTTTACTAAAACAGTGAAATAACTACAAACAATACGTAACTTGTATCTAATATATTTAATATTAAACAGAAATATATATTAAAGTAACTAATTTTCTGTTAATTTATACTACAATACTGAAACAAAACTTAATTATTAAAGTTTTGTCCTAATATTTTAATACTGAACTGCATTAATTCAAAATGACGCGATAATTGATACGATATAATTATACAAAACTGAATTAAGTCACAATGTTTTCTATAAAAATACATTTACTTTTCTAATAAAATGAAATAAATTTAAATTGATGCAGTTTTTAAATAAAATAAAACATATTAAAAAATTACCTGATACTAAAATAACAAATTATTTTGGTTTATTCCCCTTTTTTTATGAAACGTTGAGGTTTTGAATGGCACAGCGCCGGCTCATTTCTGAACTCGCTCACTTTACCGGTACCGACATGTACGTGCGAGTTCGTCAAAAAGAGAACGACGATCTCTTATTTCTGTCATTTTCATGGTATCGAGTCGGCTGTTGGATTGTTCGTGTTCTACTGATGAAGTTGATTTGGTATTTGTTGAAAACTCGAAAAACGTAAATTTTGAATTAATTCAGTTTATTATTAAAGGTGCGATAGTAGAGAGAAAACTTCTATCCAAAATACCCGAATGCCTTTACAGTAGTGTAAAACACTGCCTGTTACTCACGCCGAAAGGACTTAACAAGATCTTCTAGATTTACGCTATAATGTATGCATAACAAATATTGCTTTTTATGCAAAATGGGCACCAAAAGGGTATCCAGGACGAGTCGCCGCAACAACTTTCATTGCGTGATGTGATCCGAAGTAGAAAATCCTTCTGATTCATGTTTCGGCTTACCTTCGGTAGATAATGTTGAAACATGTTTTTCTGTATGTGGAATAAGTTTGTCACTGTTTTATGCTATTAAATAATATCCACATTTCATTTATTGTTGAAAAAACAATTTTATGCTTTATTCAATAATACAATATTAGTTTTTAAGATATTTTGGTTATCGCGGTAAAAAGTAACCTTTGTCTTTCCTTCACAATCAAACTATATCCACACCAAATTTATATAAATCCATTCAACAGTTATTGATTCCCCATACAAATTTTACTCCCTTATTCTCGCCTTAAAGGATGATTTATGGAATAAAAACTATTTCATGTCCTTTCCCGGGACTCAACTGCACGGATTGCGTAGTGGTTTAAGCGGTCGCCACACCGCTACCTACTACGCTGTGTGTTGTGGGTCCGATCCCCACATGGGACGACACTTTGTGTGATCCACAAATTGTTGTTTCGAGTCTGGCTGTTCATTGTTTCATGTATATTTGTAAAGTTCGATACAGGATACATTCATAACGCGGGAGTTGTCTTTAAAAAAATAAAACTATCTCTATACCAAATTTCATCTAAATCGGTTCAGCAGTTTAAGCGTGAAGAGGTAACAGACAGACAGACACACTTTTGCATTTATAATATTAGTATGGATGGTTCCCTTGAGAGATTCATACTTCGACACATATGGATCGGCTTGACCAGAGTGATAAAACAGTCTCAAAGAAAACCGGTGTTAATCTCAGTAGCAACGCACTAGTTTCCCTCGAGTTGAAGATGTCCATGGCCGGCGATGGTCACTTAACATCACATACCCGTCTGCCTGTTTGCTCACAGGGAGCTAAAAGAAAAAGGTGCCGCGGGTTTTCATCTGAGTTCTCATTTCATTTGTTGTTAATTCGATTCCTGATTAGTGCACGATTATATGCACTATTTGCAACTATAATATGTTTGTATTTACAAAAATAAACGTAGAAAAACAAAAATATACATATATTTGTTTAGTACAGGCTCTGCTTAGTTAGTGCCTAAATATTTGTGTATATTATAAGTTTCAGGATAATGTTATTTCAATTTCAATAATAAAAGAAATTAAAGCTTACTACTTATTGAAAGATTTAGTAACATCTAGGTATGTATTCAAGGACAATCAAAGAACAAAGCTTTTAAAATGTACGATGTTATCAAATCGCCGTTAAGTCGTAATTCAAACGCATATTTGATTTCACAACCTACTGATCGCGGTGCCCCCATAAGATAAAATGGCGCAAAACAAAACATACCACACTTTTTTTTATTCGATAAACTCGAGTTCCATTTTGTTTCTGCTAAATGCCGCATCGCTATTAGCTTTTCGAATTTTATCTACAGATTCGAGATAGGAGGCATCGCGAAAACATTTCGCAATTACAGAAAGAGGCGCTGCACGTACGTTTGTATTGCGCAGATAGCGACTCTTCCTGGAATCAGTTTAGTCTTTGAACCCTACTTATCCCCTCTTGGTTGGAACTAATGTATTCATTAAGAATTAAACTTATGGTGTCTTTCTGTCTGTTATGATACATCGCTTTTTGCGAATGTAAGGATGGTAAAATTGTTATTCATCAACTGAGTTGATCCAAAATTTTTCCATAGCTTGACTCTTCGATAAGTTAATTAAAGTTTTTATTGAATTAATATGAGATAAGTCAGTGTTGAGATCTCAGTGCTTCGTCGTAGTGGAGTGTGGTGGACCGGGTGGTGTGGCGGCGGCGCGGCGCAGTGCGGCGCTATCGAGCGGGCGCGGCGCGGGGTGGCGCGGGGAGGGTGCAAGGAGGCGCGAGAGGGGCAGTCGAGGGGTGGCACGCGGCAGTGTGCTCGGAGCCCCCGGGAGCGCGGCATGGGTGGCGCGCTGCTGCTCGCGCTGCTAGCGGCGGCGCGGGCTGAGCCCAACGCCACCGACGCGCTCGACATCGGCTCCTCGCCGCCATCAGAAGAGGAGAAGACCCCGCTCTTCCCCACAGACTTGTTCAGCGAGGAGCAGCGGCGCTCGGGTGCGGTACTCCTGCACGTTGTCGGCATGGGGTACATGTTTGTCGCGCTCGCTATCGTGTGCGATGAATTCTTCGTGCCTGCACTTGACGTTATCATCGAGAGGCTGGCCATCCGCGACGACGTGGCCGGCGCCACGTTCATGGCGGCGGGAGGTTCCGCGCCAGAACTCTTCACCTCCATAATTGGCGTGTTTGTGTCGTTCGACGACGTGGGCATCGGGACGATCGTGGGCTCCGCGGTGTTCAATATATTGTTTGTGATCGGTGCGTGCGCGCTGTTTTCCCGCACAACTCTGACACTCACCTGGTGGCCGTTATTCCGCGATTGCTCCTTTTACTCGATCAGCTTATTGGTGTTAATATACTGTTTCCGGGACAGCCATATATATTGGCAGGAGGCGCTGGTGCTGTTCTCGTTGTATGGCGCGTACGTGATGTTCATGCGGTGGAACCAGCCGGTGGAACGCGCGTTTAAGAAGCTCATCTACAAGAACAAGGTGACGCGCGTGCGGAGTACTGATCAGCTGATGCCAACGGTAAGCTCGCCCGCACACACCCGCCCGCATGCTGTGTTGCAGCATCGCCGCAGATTTGGTTAGGGTTCAAATTATATTTCATGACGGATGGTCTAACTGTTCAAATTTTAAGGATAAAATATCAATGCAATAGTTAGCTAGGTATAGCCACCAGCACCCACCTACTTTAATTCAATAATTGACCGAAATAGAGATTGGCATTCTATCCAAATTTGTTGCGATGCTTAGAGTACCGAGTTGATAGAGCCTGCGATGTGTTAAAACCTTGTAAACGTATAGTTCAAAGACATTCTATTCCCATAATCATCTAAATAGTGCATCACATTTAGATGTCGACCAGTGTATACATAGTTGTATTTAGCGTCACCTCACTAGGTATGTGAAGAAACCTTCATACACAAAAGTTTACAATATCATTAAAATCTCGATAAGATTTAATAAGTAAACGGTATATAACATAGTTGCATTTGGTTATTAGAGTACTATAGAGATCGCCCCTACGATACAAACAGCGAGGCTCAATACCCTGTGTTTGATATTAAACCCGCGCCCTCGCTTTTTGTGTAAAATAAGAGTGTAGAACGTACAATATCTGAATTATTCATATAAGAATCCGAGCACCTATCAGCCTCAAATTACACTAAGGTTCAATGCAAATATGAAAAGAACTACGCTGAAATGAAAATGCTTGGTACTTTAAATTTTGATGCTTTTAATTTTCGAAGAAAAAAACAAGAAATGATTTAAAAAAACGTATTAAATTATTAAGCTGGTTTACACACATTCATAATTGGTAATTAATCAATCACAAATCCGTCAATTTTAAAAGTCGAATTTCAGAAGTCTATCGTACCGCGTGATCCGCTTATTTACTACGTCAATACGCAAGGTTACGTTCATCGCCTTATTTCTACTACGTACACAACAGAGTATGTAGCTAAATACGTAAAGGAATTCCTTCATATATGTATATAGTATTGGAATTTTAATTTCGTTAGCGGCTCTCATATTGAAGCAAATTTAATTTAAGAACGATAGTAATTATTTATAACTGAGATATATCAGTCTGGTCTTGATTTAATAATATAATGTTTCATCATCATCATTAGCCTATCTAGGCCACCAATATAACGTGTAACATTAGTTTAAAAAAAACAATATTGCCGTTCAGGAATAGCTTAACGAGAATCTTTGTATAAGGAGTTTAAGCAATAGTAGGTACGTTTAAATCGACATGATAAAACGTTTAGTTTTTTAATTTATAATCACAAACTTTAAAATGAGTAATTAAAATAAACTGGCACAATGGTGAGATTATTGTATCACATTTATATAGTACCTATATCTGACTTATTATTTTCTTTTTAAAATAAGTTTCTGTTTCGAACCTAAAAGAAGCAGTAATAAGCAATATTTTGAACCCCGATCTATTATATTTATTATACCTACTTCTAAAACTTTTTCAACAGATAAATAATTAACTTCTTAATGAAAAGTCCTCGCAAATATATTCATTCACTCTTAATCCAACAAACCGGATCTCTGAGTATGAAGGAATACAGATTGAAGCCCTTGATTCTCTCCTGAGTTTCTCATTTACATTATAACACGAAATGTGGACTATTTAGGTATGTAACTAACTATAATCTTACCAAATGGTAGACGAAAACACTTTATCAAGCCTCGATATCGAATGTAGAATAAATAAATTATTCGAAAACAGTTACATTAACTTGCCAAATATATAGAGAGGGATTTAATCATAATTAATGTGTTTAATCTGATCAAACACGGCTAACTGTTCACACGATACGAACGCTTTTCATATTGCACGCAAGCTGTCAAACCCCGTTTAATTAGTTTTTATTGTGTTACAAACTCCAGGCTCGGGAAACCTATATGAAAATCCTTATCAGGTAAAGCAATAAATGTTTCATTAATAATTAATTGTAGAAGTTTGAATATGACTAGTCTAAAATAACCTTTCTTTTTCTTTAAGAATTATTCAAATTGAGAAGTTGATATTTTTGTATTAGTTTTCACTGATTTGAAATTTGTGGGTAAAAAAAGTGTCCGATGGTAATTTGATAGAGATTTTTTGACTGATTTCACTTGAAAGCCTAATTCTTTATTGTTAAAAAGTTACTAAAGACAAAAGAGGACACTTTAAGAATTGTTTGTGGTCACAAATTAATTTGCCTGTATTATTGTGTCAGATATATACCGATATATCTGACACAATAATACCGGGATAAGCGGCAGATGCAACCCTCACTATACCTTGCATTGTTGGAGCCAAATAAGGATGGTGATGGTGCTCTAATATATTATCCAATACTATTAATCTATTATTTAATTTACAATAATGCTTCTCTATACACATTACTGTCCATGTGGTGACGGATTAAGAATACAGAGTGTCACCACCCCTATTTATCCCGTGGGTGTCGTAAGAGCCGACTAAGGGAGAAAACTACGCAGGACAACAGCACTGCGGAGAGAAAATAAACTTGAAACAAACCCTATACCATCCCGTCTGGCCAGCGTGGTATAGTAGGCCAAACGCTCCTCTCTATGGAAAGGCCTATGTCCAGCAGTGGACTATTAAAGGCTGTTGATGTGATGTGTGATGTGATACACAGTATTTACCCCGTATAGCATTCAAAAATCAAAGCATATAGTTTTCTAGGATTACTAACACGCAACGGAGCTACATAAAGCTGACCGTGCGAAAAACAACCAAAGATCCACACCCGCGACTTTCAGCGCCTGACCTTGGGCTTTAATTATTGTCATGGCATATTATAGGGTTACTGGTAACTGGACTCGTTTAAAACTAAAAGAAAAATTGTTTGGATTGAGAAGGGTCCGGGGCACATAAAATTTCTGCTTCTATCACGTTTTATTGTAAATTGGACGCTTTTAATCTGGTACCGTTACTGATTTTTGATAGGCTTAAATTGCTTAGGAGTATTATAGGTACGCCGACCTTTAAATTTATCTTTTTATGTAAAAAAGCCTTTTCCTTGTTCCTCCGGATACATACCATTACCAATCTCAAGTAGCAAATCAAAAAACTCTTGTGCATTTTTGTCCCTCCGATTTGCGCTCTCATATTTACTGTCAAATGCATAGGGATAATGTTGTGCCACAATACAGAACTCTTTAGACATGCTCTTACTTCGTCTGCCCTTGTGGCATGTGGTATAACGGGCAGAGTCTGGCGAAAGTCGCTACAAGAAAGTATTGCAATACAGCCCACTGGTTGGTCATTTTGCTTAATATCACATAATGTATTACTGCTTTAACCTCTATACGGTTAGGACTTAACTTGATTTAACCAAAAACGCAAGACATAAACGACAGTCATGTTTGATGTGATTTTTAAATTGATTTTTAATTTTATTTACCGACCGATTGAAATAAAACAAACACTAAATTTAAGTGAAGTTTACCATAACACATTAGTGAAAACCGTACACAAATCGGTTAAGCCATTTCTGAGGTTAGCGCGCAGAAACGCACATATAAACGGACAAAAATTCTAAAAACTGTTGTTTTAAGTTCTGTTGCTTTAATAAAGATCCAATTTATTAGTTTTTCTTTAATATCTTTAATGTACAGACATCGACCTGTTACAATGTTATTATATGTTTAAATAATAAAAATGAATTGCTCTTCCTAAGTCCTATTAAAACCCGAGCAACGCTTTACCGATTTGGCTCATTTTGGTCTTAAAATATTAGTGAGAGTCCAGAAAAAGTTTGAACGGCCAAAAGCTAAATTCCACGGGTACGAAGTAGCGGACTGAGGTACTTTAATAACAAAAATTGATAGTTTGACATATATATAAACGCATCTACGCTTCCCAAAATGTTATTTAATGACTTTTATGGTAATTCTTTTCAGTCAAAATTACTTCAGGTTAGAAAAAAAGAAATAAAAAGAGTACAATGCGTTTTCGGTGAGGCGAGATTGAGATGGAGTGTACGTGGCGCGGATTACTAGTATTCCTAGTATACGATATCATCCATCTCGTGGGTTTCATATGAGCCGACTAATAGCAACCTGTCTGGCCTGCATGGTAAAGTATGATAAAACTTCCTTTCTAAGGAGACGACTATGTCCAGCGGTGGACTATTAAAGCTGTTGATGGTAGCCACTTATCATCAGGCAAGTTTTTTTTTATGATAGAGGGGGCAAACGAGCAGACTGGTCACCTGAAGGAAAGTGATTACCGCCGCCCATGAACAACTGCAACTCAGGAGTCACCAGGCCGGCCTTTGAGAAAGGAGTACGCTCTTTTCTTGAAGTTTTGAAGGTCGTGTCGGATAATACTACAGTTTTTTTTTATTTAAAGGTTTATGCATTGTCAAAAATTTATGTGCCTACCAAAGACCATGACCAATTAGCATGACCTGCCATGTTTATATACCCATGTTACGTGACTTATTACGTGTTCAAGCTAATAAGAAGGACTGCGTGTTTTTTTCAAGATGCATTTGCTGAGCAGATAGTTTAACTGATCTAGGTCTGATTTGAATAATAGTAGGGCGCTAATCATTCCTCTACTAGAATAATGTTACATGTTTACTTGCTACAAAAGGAAGTAGTAGAAGTAAACCAAAGCTTTTGTTTCTCAGAATGTGCAAATTCCTTTAACTCATCCAGAAACTACAATAATTCTTCGTTTAATTTGAAATGTAAAATGTGTAAAATAAAACATACATTTCTATCAAATGTATTGCACATTCATTTCAAGACGAAAAAAAAACATTCCAAGTTAACATTAATGTGATTGAATAAAATGTAATGTAAATTGTTTTACTGTCTCTCTTTATATTGGAATACCATGAACAGTATTTTTTTTAACAATACTAAACCACGAAAGTAGAGTCGAATGTAGTTTTGTCAGGAGCTTTTGTAGAAAGCCGTAAGTCTATATATGATGTTGGAGACCATTACATTGTTAAATGTTATTTACTCGTAGCAATACTTCTGCTAGTTTAATAAGTGTGGTACTACTAGTCACCCTTTCTTTTTCTTTTTATTCTGTGCGGAAC